TTGTATCTTTGTCCATATCGATCCAATAATATCCTGCTCTGATTATTTTGCGAACTAATGAATCGGTACCGAAATAATTTCCACAAGTATCCTCGTGAATCTCACGTCGGATGTAGTCGGTGTCTCCTGGTACTAAGTATACTGTCAATGGTCTATCGAATGTCCTTAGGTATAATGTTTTATCTGCAGTCAATGTGAACCGAGCAGCTTTGGTTCGTAGGGCCCTCAGATTTTTAGGGTCCGATGGGAGCTTTCCGTTCCCCAAGTATTCAACATACTTATTCCTCCATTCCCAGGTTAAGCTTGTAGAGTTTATCTCGGCATGACCTTTCTCGATCACGGATCTCGAGAGTTGAACGACAATCCCGGAGCTAATCTCATCTTTCTAAACCGATGACCCCAAATTTGCAAGTGCATCGGCCTCACTATTTTTTTCTCGAGGTACATGCTGTAACGTCCATTCTTTGAAACGGTGCAAAGTTACCTGTAGTTTGTCCAAATACCTTTGCATTCTAACCTCTCGAACTTTGAAGGTTTTGTTTACACTATTTACCACCAGCAAAGAGTCACACTTGGATTTAATGACTTTTGCTCCCAAGCTTTTAGCTAGCTCGAAACCTGCAATCATGGCCTCATACTCGGCCTCGTTGTTAGTCAACCTAGTAGTTTTGATAGATTGCCTAATAGTGTTACTCGTGGGCGGCTATAAAATGATGCCTAGCCCGGACCCCTTCACGTTCGAAGCCCCGTCAGTGAAAATGGTCCATACCCCCGATGATGTACCCGATTTCAATAAGAGTTCTTTTTCAACTTCGGGTATGAGGGTTGACGTGAAATCGGCCACGAAGTCCGCTAAAATTTGAGACTTGATGGCCGTCTGGGGTTGATATTCGATATCGTACCTACTGAGTTCGACGGACCATTTAGCCAATCGATCTGATAGTTTGGGCTTGTATAAAATATTACGAATTGGGTAAGTGGTTAATACGCATATGGAGTGACATTGAAAGTATGGTCTTAACTTTCTGGAGGCGCTTATCAGTGCTAGTGCCAATTTCTCTATCTAGTTTCTGCTTCCCCTAAGGTTCGACTTACATAATAAACAGAAAATTGCATACCTTGCTCTTCTCGAATTAGGACACCACTTACCGCTATTTCTGATACCTCCAAGTATAAGTAAAGTTTCTCATCTGCCTTCGGAGTGTGAAGCAGCGGTGGGCTCGATAGGTATTGCTTCAATTCCTCTAATGCCTATTGGCATTCCGGGGTCCAGGCGAAATCGTTCTTCTTTTGAGTAGAGAGAAAAATCGATGGCTTCGATCCGACGACTTCGAAATAAATTGGCCTACGGCAGCTATCCTTCCGGTTAGCCTCTGCACGGCTTTTACATTGTCTATGATGGTGATGTCTTCGATGGCCTTGATTTTGTCGGGGTTGATTTTGATCCCCCGATTTGATACCATGAAGCCAAGGAACTTGCCCGAACCGACCCCAAAAGTACATTTCTCGGGGTTGAGCTTCATGTTATATTTCCTTAAGATTTCGAATGTTTCCTACAAATGAGCTAAATGGTCCTCTGCACGCAGGGACTTAACTAGCATGCCATCAATATAAACTTCCATCGATTTACCTATATACTCTTCAAATATTTTATTTACTAGGCGTTGGTAAGTAGCTCCTGCATTTTTTAGCCCGTATGGCATTACATTATAAAAATATTTTCCATACTTGGTGATGAATGAAGTTTCTTCTCGGTCCTCCGGGTTCATTTGGATTTGAATATACCCGGAATAGGAGAAAAGTAAGGATCTCGTGGCCGGCCATGGCATCGATCATGTGATCGATGTTAGGCAGCGGAAAAGAATCTTTGGGGCATGCCTTATTTAGATCCTTATAATCTACACACATTTTAAGTTTGCTCCCTTTTTTAGGCACTACAACTACATTGGCTAACCATTCGGTGTATTTTACCTCCCGAATGGACCCTATTTTGAGAAGTTTAGTTACCCCGTCCTTTATGAATGCGTGCTTTACCTCGGATTGGGGTCTTCTCTTTTGCTTCACCAGTTTGAACCTAGGGCCCAGGCTTAGCCGATGCATCGTTATATCCGGTGGGATCCCTGTTATATCTAAATGCAACCAAGCAAAACAATCTGTGTTATCGGTAAGAAATTGAATAAGTCTTTTCCTGAGTTCGGGGGTTAATCCCGTTCCCAGGTATACCTTTCGTTCGGGCAAATGCTCGATTAGTATGACTTGCTCCAATTCTTCAATCGTTGATTGGGTAACGTCGGAATCATCGGGGACCACGAAGGATCGAGGGATCCTTTGATCATCATCTTCATCAATCTTCTGATTTTCTAGTTGGGTTGAAGCTGACGTCTGTGATTGCTATTTGGCATCTCGTTCCCCTTTTGAGTCCGACCCCTTTGTTGACAAATGTGAGGATATCGGAATTGCTTCTTCGACAATAAACATTTCTCTTGCGGCCGGTTGTTCTCCGTACACTGTTTTGACTCCCTCCGATGTTGGAAATTTAAGAACCTGGTGGAGGGTCGAAGGTACAACTCTCATATTGTGGATTCATGGCCTTCCAAAAAGGGCGTTGTACCGCATGTCGCCTTCGATTACGTGAAACTTCGTTTCCTAGATGGTCCCGACCACGTTTATTGGAAGAATTATCTCGCCTTTGGTGGTTTCACATGCCATGTTGAATCCGTTTAGAACCATGGTTGCGGGTACGACCTGGTCTTGTAGACCGAGCTGTTCTACAACCTTCGATATAATAATGTTGTCGAGCTACCTGGATCAATTAACACACGCTTAACTTTAGTTTTATTCATAAGTACGAATATTACCAGTGCATCATTGTGAGGTTGCATGATTCCTTCTGCATCTTCATCATTAAAGGACAAGGTCCCTATGGATATGTAATCCTGAGTTCGAGGTTGCTTTTCTCGTATAACCGATGTCTTAGTGAGTTTAAGCACCGACCCTTGAGGGGTATCGACGCCACCGTGATCAGGTTATGCTTCAACCGCCATGAAGCCGTCGAACTTCGTTCGTTCAAACCTTAAGTGAAATCCTGAATAACCCAATCGTCTGTGACTGGTGGCAGATCCATTCGTTCGATTTGAAAACGAGATATGAACTCCCTTAGCATCTCGTTATCCTTTTGTCTTACCTTGAACAGGTCCGACTTCTTGGTCTCGACCTTTATGGCCCCGGCGTGAGCTTTTACGAAGGAATCTGCAAGCATAGCAAAAGAATTGATATAATTAGATGGTAAATTATGATACCATATCATTGCTCCCTTTGACAGGGTTTCACCGAATTTCTTCAATAATACGGATTCGATTTCATCGTCCTCTAGGTTGTTCCCTTTAATGTCACATGTGTAAGAGGTGACATGTTCGTTGGGGTCGGTAGTTCCGTTATATTTAGGAATCTCGGGCATACGAAATTTCTCCTTGCTCATTTGATCTTACTATAGCTGGTTCCGTTCTGTGGGTGATTTCTCGGGGTGGACTGGGCTCCGGCCTGCTCGGTATCTGGGTTTGACTCTGCAACTGAGCTATTGCTGCCTGTTGAGCTTGCAATATTTCGAAAATCATACGCAAGCTGACGCCGTTTTCCTCGATGTTATGGTTATCTCGAGCTGCAGATCGAATGCCACTATGAATGCTATTTTCAGGTTCAGAATGTAGGTTTGCCTCAATGGCCACATGCGAATTAATGTCTAGTGGCACTTTGACTCGAGCTCCAACGACGTCGACAAGCGGCCTTTCGGTCCTGGGCGTCAAGTTGTTATTCTCACCTTGAAGACCAGCTTCGTTGTCGATAAGGAAAGGCCATTTAATTGATAGCTCGTCGTTGCTAATTCGAAATCAAAGACACTTCCGGAAACAAGCATAAAATGGCGTGTTTTGTGGATTCATATCAAATAACCACTGTTATCCTTAGCCCCACAGTGGGCGCCAAACTGTTTACCAGAAAAATGGATAGAGTTGAATTTGTATGTAGTTCTAAGAGTATGTGGTATAACTTGACACAAATCGTAAGAGTAAATAGAAATATCGAATATTGACTGTAAAAAGTGAAAAATAAGCAAAGTTGAAAAGAGGATGATTTATAGATTAAGCAAGATGAATCAATCTATGAAGCTAAAAAAGGACAATTCTTCAATATGGGAGTGTATGATAACTGAGTTACAATGTATGCAAAACTTGATGCTTTAAAAAAAATATAGCCATCCTTTTTATAGTGTGGGATCCTACTTTAGATATAATTAAAAATACATAGTGGGGAACCCATGATAAATCAGCTTTTCTCTATTCCCCGTCGATATTCTCTCCCTTAGTACGGCTGCAACGGCTCTTGTCTATGAGCTCGATCTTGATCGGACTTAGTATTGGTCGGTTTCCAGTTTTAAAGCTCGATGCGGGTTTGATATTGATGCCGACTCGGGGTCCGATAATGACTTGGGCTCGGTATTGGCAGGCATCTGGCCCTTAAGCTCGATTCCATCATATCTTATCATAGTTCGATTCGGATCCGAGCTCGATAATAACTTGGAGCTCGGTATTTGACCTGTCCCTGAAACTTGAAGCTCGTTTGTGCCTTTTTGGATCCCATCTCGATATTATGAAGACTTTCTTCGGTCCACTATGTTTCCATCTTGATCAGACGTACGAAGGCCGAAATCAATTTCGACCGTATACACAAACTTAATTATGACACAACATATACCCAATTCCCATCAAATTCGATCCTATGATGGGAAGCATTACCAGAGGCGAACTCAGAATATCAATTAATACAGTGGAAATTTTAATTTGTTGACATAATACTCCCTCCATTTCAATTTATGTGAACCTATTTTCTTTTTAGTCCGTGCAAAAAAGAATGACCTATTTCCCTATTTGGAAACAATTTACCTTTATGCAATGATTTATAGCCACATAAAATATATGTGCCTCATTTTACACCACAAATTTAAATGTCTTCTATCTTTTCTTAAATTCCGTGCCAGTCAAATGGATTCACATAAATTGAAATGGAGGGAGTAATACAGATGGTGCATGTAAACTTAAAGGTTCACAAAGTCTTAGGCCTGCACAGTTTGCAGCTTGGGCAGCTTCTCTTCTTTAGCTGCTGCAAACACGCATAAGGAGAAAACAAGGCAAACCCATCCAACCACTTGCCCACGAGCGACACCTTTGAATAGAAACTGAGCAATGAGGATAATTGCACCAAATCCACCAACCACTGTTAAAAGAAGCATCTTCACTGTTTGGATCTGCGTTTATCAGACTGTGACAAATTATTCCTTTTCTTTCTTCGTATTAAGAGAGAAATAATTAAAGAGAGAGACAAAAGTAACTCTTGAAAAACTTACCCTGGCTTTCTTTGGTGCGTAGAAAAGGTAAAAACCAACGTAAATAGTTTCAATGAAGACCCCAAAGGAGTTTATAGTGATGAGAAGGGTCGTGTTGGTCTTGAGAAATGCATAGTATATCCAAAGCATGGAACTGAATAGAGCAATCACATACGGAATTGATTGATAGCCTTCTGTTGATTTCTTCTTGTAAATTTTATAAAATGTAGGCCTACAAGTGAATAAGTATGCAATTACTCAAATGACTATAGTAATAATAGAAAAAAAATTTAATAAGGGTGTTCAAATTTTTAACACCCTTTACCATTGGCCTATACAAGGGTGTTCAAAATCTATTTTTAATCAATAATAAGTAATATTTTACCTTATACGTAATATAATTTTTCGGAGAATGGTGATCAGTTGACCATGGCTAACATAGCTTCGCTTCTGACTATAGTCTAGAGCAAACACACCGTATAAAATAAAGTAAAACGAATACGGGCAACAGCTAACTTACAGTGGAGAGAGAAAAACAATAAACGAGACAATATTTCCTGCAAGATAGAAAACTTAAGGGGTCAACAAAAGAAATTCTTGATAAAATAATGATTAATTGGAAGAGATAAAATACCCCCAAAGATCCATGCAATGATTAAATTATGTACGTTAATGATTGAGGATACGCCAGTACGATGAAATGATTAATTGACACTTCCACTAAGATATTGTTTGGATTTGTCTATAAATTAAGTCATAATATAATTGTTATTGGCCCACTATTGACCAATATTTATTTCCTAGCTATTACTGTAGAAATTAAAGGAAGAAAGAATAAGAAGCGAGAATGACCATATATATCTACCGTAAGATCCTACAAAGTTAACACGGATACTAAAGGAACAAGAAAACGTGATTTACCACGGACACCAAAAGCAAATGCCCAGTGGCCAGAAATAGCCATCTTTGTTTATTCCAAAAATGGAAACTCCTCTCTTTGCTAATCTCTCACTCACAAACAATTGCAAGACTTGCTAGTTTTGATTGACAATGAAATGAAGAGGGCTCAGTTCACATATTTATATAGCAACTCTAGAAGTAGGGGTGTTTATGGTTCGGTTTGGATCGATTTTTTCCTAAAAAGAAATCAAACCAATTAAGTCGGTTCTTAAAATATTGGAACCAAACCAAACCAATTAAGTCAGTTTTTTATCGATCCGGTTTTTGTCAATTTTTCGGATTTTTCGATTATTTATCGTTTTTCTTAAATATGAGACATACACTACCAAATACATATTTCGGCGACTATATTTTCAACTTAACACTATCAAACCAATTGCTCTTTGAGAAATCTATAATTTACCAAGATATATTGATGATAATTGAATCAAATAGTGATGAATACTTTAAGTACTCAATTAAAAATCGATTATTTTTAACATGAAATAAATTGGTTTACATAGCAAAAGAAAACTACAAATCAAACCAGAATGTAAAGGTAAAGAACTAGATTATTATAATAGCAAAGGACTAGACTAAAAATACAAACGACTAATATACACCATAAAATTTTAGAAACTTTCTATAAAAATATACATATATATATGTGTAATAATAAATTTAAATATCTACTTCTATAGTCGGTTTGGTTCGGTTATTTTTTTATTAAAACCAAAACCAAACTAAATTTGATCGGTTTTTAAAATTCAAAACCAAAACTAAACCAGACCTAAAATATATTGGTTTGTTTGGTCGGTTTGGATCGATATTCGGTTTGATTCGATTTTTCGGGTTTTTATGAACACTGCTGTGTAGAAGTATACAATATTAGTGGATATCTTCTTAGAGTTCTCCATTTTGTATGTATTTATTTTTCAGTTAGTGCTCTATTTCGTTTAATTCAATTTCTATGTACAAAACAAAGCACCTTTTGATCAGCTAACCTTTTAGTGTATGATGGGCTTGATATCAAAAGGGTCCCATATATGTTGCTCTTTTGTTATGTCATAGTCCTATCCAGTAGGCACTAAAGCTTCCAACTCAAGCACTACAATATTTGAAAGGGATTTGTTTAATTTTCTCATTTATATTTTGTATACTAATTTGCTCCTAAACAGCAAAAAAGACGATCAACAAATGATGAAGGCACCAATGAATGTTTGCCAGTTGGCATCAATAATAGATGCATTCCGGCTCCAAGGTCACTACAAGAAAACATGCCTTTAACGAAGAGAAATCAAGTCCCTAAAAATACGTTTTTGGTCTCTAAATGTCAATAGTGACCGGAGAAATCTGATCGCAACTCGACGTTATTGCCTCCGCCGCTAAAGGTTAATAATGACGAGGTGTTTTCACTGGTCCCTAAATGTTTTAATGACCGGCGACCTTCTGGTCCCTAGAAACACATTCTAAAGAGCATATTTATGGTCCCTAAACACCTTAAGCACAAGGTATTAGTTAGGGGTGCACATGAGTTGAGTTGGTTCAGATTTTCTAATTACCAAACCAAACCAATTGTATCGTGTTATTAAATCTAAATACCAAACCAAACCAATAAAATCGGACTTTTTAATCTCGATTTTTCTCGAGTTTTTCGGATTTTTGGGTTTTTTTTTCATAAAGTCCTCATAGCACAAAACGTAAAATTTGTGCTCCAAATATTTCTTTAATCCTAGTAAGACAGAACTATATAAGGTGTTTTTCAATAAAATAACATAAATATAAGATGAGCCATGGCATTGTACTAAAATATTCAACAATAAAGATAATAAAATCGCATAAAATAAATATTATTAATAAGACATAATGAAAACAAACATAATTTAAAATTATGACTAATAAGTACTATTATTTACACGACAAACCACTAAAAGAAAAATAAGTTATACATTTTATCTAAACCATGGAAACACTAAAAAAAATAGATATCCAAAACTATTTTCATTCATAGTACAATTGAATTAACGACATGTCACGACCCAAAATATTCACCTTCGGTACCGTGATGGCGCCTAACATTTCACTTGCTAGGCAAACCAACATTAGAGAACCGTTAAGTCAATTATTATTCAATTCAATAGATACAGTCAATTAAACCAAAATGAAATAAAATCGAGTGCGAAATAACATAAAGCCAATAATATCTGAGACAATTCGGATCTGGAGTCACAACCCACGAGCTTCTAAGATTTTCTACAAATAAAGTCTGAAAGAAATACAACTGTTTGAACGAAAGAAAAAGTAAAAAAATTGAAAAGATAGACGGGGAATTCAAGGTCTGCGAACGCTAATAGATCTACATTGAGTCTCCGACGAACCAGTCCGAGCTACTACGCCTCTCGTTCAGCTGGGACCAATACCGAAATCTGCACAGAAAGTGCAGAGTACAGTATTAGTATAACTGACCCCATGTACTGGTAAGTGTCGAGCCTAACCTCGACGAAGTAGTGACGAGGCTATGACAAGACACCTACATAATAAACTTGTGCAATTTAACAGTATAAGTAAAAATAATAGCTAAACATGTACTATTGGGAGGGGAACATGCTGAGGGAAATACGAGATAGAGAACTACAACAGAATGGTAACTAGAACAGCCAATATACTATGAACCAATAAGAACAAATAAACACAGTAAAGGAAAAATACACGGCATCACCCTTCGTGCTTTTACTCTCAACCTCACCATAAAATTAATAGAAACGGCACGGCATCACCCTTCGTGCATTAACTCTCATAACATGGCACGGAAACACCCTTCGTGCATTAATACTCACAATATGGCACGACATCACCCTTCATGCATTAACACTCACAATATGGCACGGTATCACCCTTTATGTATTAACACTCACAATATGACACGACATCACCCTTCGTGCATTAACACTCTCCCTTACCATAATACAATGAACAAATAACAACATGGAGATAGAATAACAAGTACAAGCCTTACTTCAATATTTGGTTCCACAATATCAACCTCAACTTCGGAATCAATACTCAATTATCACCAAAAAATCCGTAAACATGATAAGAACGATCAATTTAACAATACTAGTCTAAACATGGATAACATGAACGAAGGAATCTATAATTGCAAGAAACCATGCCCCGCCCGCATGCTTTATCCCGACTGCAACACATAAGTACTCGTCACCTCACACATACGTTGTTCCCCAACATTTAAACATGTAGCAAATAGACAAACAAGTCATATTCCCTCAAGTCAAGGTTAATCACGATACTTACCTCACTCTGAAGACCAAACTTAAAGCTCAACCACAGCTTTTCCTTTCAAACAAGCCTCCGAACTAATAGAATCTAGCAATTTACCAACCAAACGATTCAAATTAAGCCTTAGGAATTACCTAAGATTGTAAAGAATTCAATTTAGGCCATTATTGAAAAAGTCAACACCCGAGCCCGCTTGATCCAAACCCGAAATTCGGGCCAAAATCCAATTACCCATTCGCCCCCGAGCCTAGTTATGTGATTTGTTTGGGAATCCGACCTCAATTTGAGGTTTAAATTCCCAATTTACCAAATCCCTAATTTTTAGATTTTAGATTGAAAACTCTAGATTTTAGGTTGAAAACTTGTGAAATGTAGTGAAAGATTGAAAGGAAATAGGTTATAATCAATTACCAACGATTTGGGGAAGAAGGAGTCTTAGAAAAAACGCCTCTAAGGTTCTAGGTTTTGAAAATTTGAAGAATGGACCAAAAATCCCGTCTAAGTCATATTTTGTCTAGTTGCAAATGTCGCATTTGCGACATGGTGCGAAGCCCGCAAATGCGAGAAATCCATCGCATTTACGAAGACTCCCACACCTCTGCAATCATCGCATTTGCGATGAAAATTTCACAAATGCGAACACTAACTTGACCGCAAATGCGACCCAATGATCACAACCTCCCATCGCAAATGCGAAGCTTTGTTCGCAAATGCGAACACTGGCCTTCCGCAAATGCGACCTCATGATCACAAATGCGAACCTAGGCTGACCGAGGCACACTTCACAAATGTGAAGAAATGGATCGCAAATGCGAGCCTGACAGAAGATGGAAATGTTCGCAAATGCGAACTTTGATCTCGCAAATGTGAGATCAGAGGCCAGTTCCTAGAAATTGCAGACACCAGCAAATGTTCTCAGTCCAATTTACTCCGTAGCCTATCCAACACTCACCCGAGCCCTCGAGGCTATAAACCACTTATGCACCAAAGTCTAAAAACATCATACGAACTTGCTCGCGCGATCAAATCGCCAAAATAACACCTAGAACTATGAATTGGACACCAAAATCAAATGAAATTTTCAAGAAACTTTAGAATTGCTATATTAACAACTGGACGTCTGAATCATGTCAAACCAACTTCGTTTCTTACCAAATTTGACAGACAAGTCATAAATATAGTATTGGATATATACCGGGTTCCGAAACCAAAATACAGACCCGATATCCAAAACGTCAAACATCGGTCAAACATTTCAAAATCATAAAGCCTTTAACTTTCAAATTTCAACAAAGTCCGATAACTCGGGCTAGGGACTTCCAAATTCAATTCCGAGCATACGTCCAAGTCCCAAATCACGATACAGACCCACCGGTACCGTCAAAATATAAATCCGGGTCCGTTTGCTCAAAACGTTGACCTAAGTCAATTCAAATAGATTTTAAGGCTAAAATTTTATATTTTCTAAGTTTGTTTAACATAAAAGCTTTCCGGAAAAACACTCGGACTGCGCACATAAATCGAGAAAGGTTAAAATGAGTTATTTAAGGCTTCATGGTGTAGAATTCAGTTCTAAAACATAAGATGACCTATCGGGTCATCACATTCTCCACCTCTAAAAGAACCGTTCGTCCTCGAACGGACATAAAAAAGTACCTGAACTGGTGAAAAGGTGGGGATATCTACTCCGCATATCCGACTCGGATTCTCAGGTAGCTGCCTCAACGGGCTGACCTCTCCACTGCACTCGAACTAAAGGATAACTCTTCGATCTCAACTGATGGACCTGCCGTGCTAGA